TTCTTTCTTTCTTTCTTTCTTTCTTTCTTTCTTTCTTTCTTTCTTTCACTAAGTCATTCCATGGATTTTTACCATTCTGACATGATACACTGTAAAAGCTTCATTTTTCTCAATTGGCTCAAACAGTATGGCCAACTGGTAAAATTTGGTAAAATTAATAAAATAAATAAAATAAATAGCAAAGTCTTTTGTCCTCCCCCAAACGGTTCCCTGTTAGACTGCCCAAAGTCATTATTTTCAAATGCCTCATTAACTCTAAAATGTTTCAAAGCCTTAAACATTCTTCAAAACCTGTTTTTGCAACCTTAAAACAAACACATTTTAGAAGAAACTGTTTTTTCAATATAAAAATAAAGTACCTTTTTTAGGAGTGAAGTCACAAAGCATAACCATAATTTTAAAAGTAAAAACCAAATTTTATCAGTGTGTGACAATTCAGTGCCTCTAAAGTCACTACCAAGCATATTGTTTTGATGTCATGAATGTTGGCTGCCAGCAAGAAAAGTTCTTGTATACAAACACATGGAGGTGCTGCTTTAATATATTATATAACTAGAGTTTCAAACTTTATTTTTATAAACCTGGTTTTTAAGATAGGACAGGAATTATGTAAAATCTTAACATACTCACTAACCAATAATCTAACCAAGACAGACAAAACATAGGAAACTTCTATATTCAAAACAGACAAAACTACAAAACTTAGTTGTACTTCTTTTAGCTGTCATTTCAAGGAAGGAACATCTTGCTACCTGTTGAATCTAATTCTTATGACCATAGAGGCTTGCAGCTTTCTTACCTGAGAAGCTGCTGTTGCCCCTTTAAGAGCTGCCTGCCTACAGAGAAGCCTCTCCCTGGGTGGGCTGCATTCCCAAGCAACCTGACTCCCCTCACAACCAGAGACTTGAGCAGTGGCAGAGACCAAATCTTGGCAGAGACCTGCCAGACCAGGGTTCCCCAAAATGGGCAAGAGTTAAGTCTAGGGAGTTAGAAGCAGTCTGTCCTATAGCGTTTGTCACAGTCCCACAGTCCAACAAAGACACACAGACACAAGGAACAAAATTGAAAGGCAGAAGTGAACAATGTAGCTGTTCCTCAACTGTAAACAGAAATAGATCCAAAAGCTTGGACTCTCAGATTCCTGCCACTGAATCTGAGAGACACCCAGGGAGCAGAGTAACTGACAGTGGGATTCCTGGTCCACCCCAGGGCCAGGTATGTCTTCCTTGAATCTCCCACAACAGTGCATCTGCTCCTAGCCGCATCTTGCCCCTTGTACAGACACCTCCAGGCTTTTCAGCACTGAGAGAAAACACAAACACAGACACTGCACAGAGACACTTAGACACTTTCTGCCTGTCTAGGATCCTCCTTGAGTCCTAGGGTCCTATAGTCTTGGGGATCCCAGACCAGCCCCCAGATATTATTCCCAGTTCGTGACACCCACAAAGACCGTCAGGAATCGACTGCATGGCAAAAACATGAGGATCTTTTATTACAAGCTCAAGCCCAGGTTGCAGCATTCTCCCTAGTTGAAGAGGAGGACTAGGGCCCAGCAGTCTGAGGGAACAAGGTTTTTAAAGGGAAAAAACACGAGTGGGGAAGTCCAAGCCTTTTATTATAGGATTGGGTAAGAGGGTCTTGAGGGACGTTGACCTTTAAAATAATAGGTCTGTTTTAAGCACCAGGGCCACAGTGGTCCGGCCATCTGTGGAATATCTGATCATGCACACTGCCTGGAGTGTCCTGTTACATGCTGATTAGGCAGGACTATCTGGGTGGGGGCCTGCTGGCCATCTAGTCTGGTTGCCAAGCAGAGATATCTTTCAGTGTCCTAAGGCTGGACAGGCCAGTGTGTCTTAACTTGTCCACTTCTTTGTCTAAACTTGTACCCAGGACCACAGTCATGTTGCCCCAGGAATTAAATTTCAAATTTGGACCTCCCATCTGCAACCTTGAAGGTGCCTGCATTCTCTTCCACCCTGTGTCATCCTTGTTTTCATATCTGAAATGGGCCCTACACTGGCCGGTCCTGCTGGGGCACTGAGAGAAATCTTAACTTCTCCAGTTTCTGTGCTGTTAGAGCCTCAGACTGCAGGACCTTAACTTTTAGTTTAACACACAAGAGGTCTGTTAGCATGTGTGTTTTCTGTTCTCCCAGGGACTCTTACCTAAACTTAGTACTTATCTAAGTGTGGAGCTCTCATTGGGAAACCATCTATCTTAAAACAATGACCAGTATGTTGAGTACCTTTCAGTCTTAACAAAGATTTTTCTTTTCCCCTGTTTCCTTTTTGATAGGCCCTTATCACCGTCTTCATGGCAGCAGCTATAGGAATCACTTTCTGGATGCTAAAAAATGTTTGTATTGAAGTTGAGACTAGGTAAGCAAGCCCGGATCCTGATTTCAAGAAAATGCTGTCATTTTGCTCAAACTTTTATAAATCCTTAAGACCTGGAATTTGTGTCAAGCACAGGTAAGCATTTATTCTGTGGTAGACTATGCTGTACGCTGAAAGCACAGTCGGGGGATCACTTTTCACATGTGTGTGCATGGATAGTATGAACATGTATACACATTTCACATTTCTTCAATTCTTTTTATTTTCTTTCAAATATTATGTCTCTACTGTATTTCCTGTTCTTTTCATTCCCCCCTCAGATATGCCCCAACCATCTCTCCTAAGAAAAGAGCAGGCTTTCTGGTGACATCAGCCAAGCATGACATAACAAGCTACAGTAAGACTAGGCACAGACCCTCATGTGGAGGCTGGATGAGGCAACCCAGCAGAAGGAAACTGGTTTTATCCAGTTTTAGTGTATGGAGTAGGATTATTTCATGCAGATTGATTATCACTATAACTTTAGGGCAAGTTTTTCATCTTCCCAAATGGAGTCCCACAGCTCTGAAAGAACACTCCTCATACTAATCACTCCCACTTCCTTGCAGCAGCCATTCTGCTTTCTGTCTTGAAGTATGACTAACACAGGATCCCTGAACTGGCATCATAAATTGGAGTCTTATTGTTGTTTTGATGGGTTCTTGATTGTTTTGGCTGGCTTGTTTACATAAGCGTAATGTTCTCAGGCTCAGCACAGTGTGGCAGGTGTGGGGCTCTGTAAGGCAGAGTAAAGTCTGAATAATGTGTGCACATGCTGCTTCCCTTTGTCTGTGGCTGGAAATGTGGGTTGCTCTCACCTTTGGCTCATATGACTGCTGCTGCTGAGTGGACCAGCAAGTCTGTTTGAATCCAGTCTTTTACTCCTTAAGATATAGAGCTGGTTTGCCATGGTGTTACTTGAGGAAAGGCTTTGTGTCTCCACCTCCTCTGTACTATTTTATATTCTCACAGCAGCAGACACAGGCTCCTGATTGTCCACATCTTCTCCTGAACTTATGTTCTCTCTTGTTTTAAATGAGAGATCTAAGAAAATAACTCTCAGTCCATTGGATGCTGTATCAATTTTCTGGAGAATCCATTTTCTCATTTTAAATGGTCATGATTTTGTAAGGGTATGTGTGTGGGCATTGTATATGTGTGCATATAAGTGTGTATTTGTGTGAATGTGTTTGTCTATGTGTATGTAGTATCATGTGTACTTTGTACATGCTTGTGTGGGGTACATTCATGTTTATGTGGGTGTATCTGCATTGAATGTGGGTCAATATCCATGTGTCTACACTGGAGGCCAGAAGTTGATGCCAGGATTCCTCGATGACTTTGCATGTTGTCTTTTGAGGCAGGGTCTCTCCCTGAACCTAGAGCTCACTAGCTGGCTTTGCTGGCTGACCAGTGAGTTCCAAGTGTCCCTGTCTGTATCCATCAGCACTGAGTTTCTGATTTGAAGTGTGCCAGCCTCTCACATGGGATTTAGGCTCTGAACTCAGGTCCTCATGGCTGCATGGCAAACACCTTGCTGAATGGGCCACCAGCCCAACCCCACAGGTCTGATTAATGTGTGGGAAATCTGATGAGCAGAAGCATAAACACCAGCTGCTGTGTGAGTTTCTGTCTGTGTAGATCTGACCTTGTTTCAGTAAGTCTACAGTGAGTGGATTCTTTCAGCTGTTTTCAGGCTGTCCTCTTGTCACCTTCCAGAAGCCCACAGCCTGAACACTTTCCAAACCTGCCAGTGCCTAGTCTGTGCCCTGTGGACATGGCACATCTTAAGCCAGCACAGAAGAGAGCACAGAGACACAGTGTAGTCACTTTCACAGGAAGCACTCAGAAGTAAAGTCCGGAAGGCCGGAGGTGGATATGCTCTTGGGAAATGCAGAAGGACTAGCTTTATTAGTGGTGTCTTCATATGCTTTCAGAATTTGTGAAATGCTCTCAAGTGTTTTTCACTTCCTCTGCTACCAGTGATTTAGAAGAAATTGGACTGTGTGAAAATGGCCTTTTTGTGTGTTTTATTTCATGCTTCCTGATTAGTCACTGATTCTTTTGGTTAGTATGCTTGTCAGTTTTTTGTTTGTTTGTTTTTTGTCTGTTAAGCACAGGGTAGAGTCGTGTGGGAAAATGAACCCCAATTAAGAAAATGCATCTATCAGATTGGCTCATAGACAAGACTGGGTATATTCTTGGTTGATGAGTGATGTAGCAAAGACCAGCCCATACTGGGCAGTGCCAGCTTGGGGCAGTTGAGTTGTACAAGAAAGCAGGTTGAGCAAGCCATGAGATGCAAGCCAGTAAGAAGCTCTCCTCTGTGGCCTCAGCTCCCATTCTGGCCTCCAATTCCTGCCTTAAGTCTACTCTGGTTTCCCTCAGGGATGGACTGTTTCCTGGGGTATGAAGCCAAATGAACCCCGTGCTCTCCAAGTTGCTTGGTTTATCGTGTTCATCACAGCAGCAGTAACTTAAGCAGGACTTAAACACTTCCTCACCATCGTCTAATAGACCCTGGAATTTGTCCTGTTTGTACTCACATATACCCTGAAAGAATTTCCCCAAATGCATCTGCAGCCTGAAGCTCACTGGAGCATTGTACAGTGACCAAGGGATGGAGCTTAAGTGTGTAGCACAGGCAACTGGTGAGGAAAATGGGAACTGGAAGGCTGCTTATCTTTAAAATGGGGTATATGGCAATATGGGTAGAACTGAAGATTGGGGACAGAACTGAAGGTTTGAGGAACATAACCCAAAGAAAAATAATCCCAGCAGAGAGAGATAAACACAGGTTTCACTAGCTTGTGTATTATTAGGCAACCAACCTTTGGTCAGCATGTCTTACAGTGTTGATTGCCAGAGGCAGTGTGGGTTGAGGAGATACATCTGTGCTGAGAGTATAAAATCTGCTAAACTGGAGAAGTACAATTCTTTTCTATTGAAATGTACAGAACTGTTGTAAATAACTATTAATATTTACTATTAATTATCTCCTGGTAAAGCTGCTGTTGGTCCTAAACAGCTGTTTAACCAAATCACCATACAGAGACTGGGTTTATTTAGTTAACCTAGAACACAATGCTGGGCAATAGTTACTCCATCCTAAACCTCCAAGCCCTCATAGTTTCCTAAGATTTAGATTGACCCATTATACTTGCTTTTTGTGAAATCTTAGGTTCAGTCCATCTCCACGTAGTTACAGAGGGTGATCTCTCTCCCTCTGTTCTCCAAACTCTCCTCTCCCCCCTTCTCCTCCCACTCATTTCCTGCCCTCTAGGTCCTCCCCTCTTTCCTGTCCTCTGGCTCCTCCCAGTTCAACATTGTGTCTAGTTGCTTTATTTTGGCCTGTTTACACAAAGTTGAGACAGGATGCTTAGAATAAGTATCACAACACAATATCCGGATTGAAACCAGAGAGTTGGCGGGGGGTGGGTGGGAGGTGGGGGGTGGGGAGGAGAGAAATCAGCATTTGAATGAACAAGGCTAAGGTGTATACATTTCAAAAGAACATTATACCAACATCAATCCAGCAAATATACTACACATTTCAAAGAATATATCTCAAATGAGGTACCATAAAAAGATGTGTATTTGTGGAGATGCAGATCACCTAATTCAGTTTGTTATAATTATTTCAGAAAGTTGTTCATGAATTATATTTCTTTTATACCTTAAATATATAACTGTAATTTGTTAATGTGTAACTATAATATTTAAAAATCAGATCAGTAAGTGGATGCGACAGATACAGTTAACTGTAGGCAGGGCCACGAGGTTCCCTTCCTAAATTCTTGGTTTTGTCGACAAAAACATAGAAAAGTGAACACAGCTGGGAACTTGAAGACAGTTTATTGGAGACAGAGAGAGGGAGAATGCTGAGCACCTCAGATCATGTGTGTGTGGGAATGGAGGAGTGGGGAGAGAGAGAGTTTTGCATTTAGGAGTGTAGAGGGAAAAGAGTTGAGCCTTGCAAAGGAAGACTGGCTCCTAAGGAGAGGAGGCAGAACCAGGACCTCTGCTCCATGTTTGGTCACAGGGTTTCCGGGTCCTCTGCTCTCATTTGGTCCTTTGAGGGAGAACCACAGTTGTTATATGACAGGCCTGGAGCTTGTCCTGCAGCCCAGGCTGTCCTGAGTCTGCAACAGTCCTTCTGCTTCTGCCTCACAGGTTGGGTGAGTCCTGGAGGCCATGCTTGTTCCTCTTCTCAGAGCATTAATTGTGTTCTCAGGTTTTCCCCCCAACACTTTGCTTTAAAATGGCCTTTGGTAGGTTGTAAAAAACTGGGATTTTTCTTTATGCAGGAGGAGACTTGTCTCTCTTCTGATCTGTATATCTGTACATCACTGCGTACTCATACAAAGAGAGTCTCTGAGTCCTGACTCATTTGCTATGTGCTATGCATCAGGCTGTTAGGACCCTAATCACTCCATTTGTCTTGGAGGAATTTGACGTGTGTCCAGGAAACATACAGCCACAGGGGGTCTCTTATCCCCCTTCTTCGTTCTTACTACCCTTATCACATGAACAAAAATTATTTCTTCACAAATAAGCATGTCTGGATTTATTTTGAGCTCATTGAAGCCACACAGGAAGATGGTTGGCCTGTTTCAGGGATGATCATTAAAGCTTTAAAGATGACTCTCTGTGTATCCATAGTAAGCTGCTGAGCTGGATTCCTGCCATTGTTTCATGATTGTTTATCCTTGCTCATCTGTAAAAGCGAAATGGCTAACTGAATATGAAAACCCCTTGGAGCTGTATTTAGCTCTCCTCTTCTCTGTATTAGGAATGATACTGACTGTTAGTTAATTGAAGTGACAGGTTGGGCTGCCATGACTGCATACCACAGCTTAGTGGATTTAAAAATAAATGTGTCTACACTGTGCAGCAAGAGGGTCCAAGGTGAGGATTCTCTCCAGGGCTCTTCCCCTTCTCTCCAGGGCTCTGTACCTTTTCTCTGAGGTGAGGATTCTCTCCCAGGCTCTCCTCTTCTCTCTGAGGTGAGGATTCTCTCCTGGGCTCTTCCTGTCTGGCTCCTTCCCTCAGAGCCCTGTCATGGCAGAGACTCTGTTGCTGTCTCTCCCCTGTGAGGACACAGATGACACTTGATACTATGGGCCTCCACTTTCATGATTTCATCTGAAACTAGTTAACTCCTAAAAGACACACTCCAGGGTGGTTACATTAGGGCTCATTGCCATGTTGCTGGGGTTTAGAGGACCCACTTTGGTCACTAGAAACTGCTTTGAAGACAGAGTAGGCAAATGATCCACAGGACTCACAGCTTCTGACAACCTCTGCCCTCTCCCCACCCCCACCCCCCTTTTTTTTAAAAAGAAAAAAAAGCAGAATATCTCTACAGTTTTCTTTTCTTTCTTTTTAAAACTACTTATTTAAATTTTTATGTGTATGAGTGTTGTCTGCATGTATGTCTATGCACCACATGTTTGCCCTGGTGCCCGTGGCGATCATATGAGGGTGTGGAAATCCATCCCAAACAGGACAGGGGCTTGCAGGCAGCAGCTGATACAGAGGCCATGGAGGGTGCTGCTTTGTGGCTTACTCTGCCTGCTTCAGTACAGAACCCAGGACCACAGCCCAGGGATGGCTCCACCCACCATAGGCGGGGCCCTCCCCCACCAATCACTAATTAAGAAAATGCCCTGCAGGTGTGCCCACAGCTGCATCTTTTGGAATCATTTACCCGTTGAGGTTCTCTGCTCTCAGATAATTCTGGCTTCTGTCAAGTCGACATGAAACTCGCTAGCACAGGATCCCAGAAATCCTGCCATACATGGTTGGGACCCACAGCCTGGGTGTCTGCACCAAACCTGGGGCCTTTGCTAGAGCCACGAGCACTCTTTCCTGGGGAGTCGTCTCTCCAGTCCTGCTTTTATTTTACTTTTAACAAAAATCTGTGTGATGTCATTTATTCTGCTGAACAAGCTCGGGTGGGAAGAAACTGTGCTAATGTTGAATTTGCGATTTGCTTTTGCATCCATTGTCTCCTGGCAGAGTCTTCCTGCTTTTCCTGCTCACAGGCTTCCAGTGCATCACCAGCATGTCTGCAGGGGAGATCTTTGTGTTTGACAGGGATCGCTTTCTGTGAGTAGCCCCTGCTCCAGCAGGCCTCAGCCCTTCCTCATCAAGTTGATCACTCTCAGAGTTTGGTCTAGAGTGTGAATTCATGAATTACCAGCATTTTTTTCCCCTTTTGTCTTTGTTCATTTCAAAAGTAGACAAGTTATGAAATGTGGTGTTCACCATGTGTTTTGAAGGCTGGAAAGAGATTACTAATGTTAATTGGAAAAATGGATGGGAAATCATGAGGAGAAGTATCTGCAGCTCAACGAAAGTTTCAGATCTGGGTTGCTGTCCTCAGACATCAGTTTTGCAGACAAAGCAGCAGTAGGGGGTCGAAAATCACAGTTCACTCCTGAACCCACCAAAATATGTCAGGGGTTTGATGTAGCCTATGTGTCCTGGGTTTAGCAGCAAATGGGAGTTTGGGAGGCAAAGCTGCCCAGAGGCAGGAGAGTAGCCCCCTAGGATGAAGGGCTGGACAGAGCCAGGGGCAGTTATGCAGAGCAAGGGGGCAGCTGTGCAGCAGAGGGCTGTTTAATGCCTGGGTGTTCAAACATGGGACACCCTCTCCTGCTGGCCTGTGCTTAGGATTCACTGCTTCAAAGACACAAGCACTTCAAGTAAAGGAGTCCTCAGAGAGGAGCTGAGGGCGCAGCTCAGTTGGCAGAGTGCATGAAGCCCTGGGGTAGATTCACAGAACCACGTAAGCCTTAGCATGGCTGGTGTACCCTGGCTCCCAGGTCATGGGGACAGGGACAGGAGGATGGTCATTCTTGCCTACATGTGGAGTTTGAGGCCAGCCTGCACTAGCAGTCCTTTCTGAGAGAGAGAGAGAGAAAGAGAGAATAAAGACACCAAGAAAGATGCTGGGAGGGGCAGGACCAGGTGTAGTAGGTGGTAAGGGGTCCTGTGTAGAGTGAGATTATTGGAGGAAGAAGTCTCTCCAGTGAGAGATGCAGAAGAGCAGGATGTGGTGGCCTAGCATGGCATGGTGACCTCAGAGTGGCAGTGTCATCTTCTCTGTAGGATGGGGTCAGATAGGAGTCTCCATGAGCACCTTCTGAGTTGGGGTGCTGAGCACTGCTCCTCAGGAAGCAGAGTCCAAGGATAGTGGGGACAGTGGCCTGTTTCCCCGCAGGGGCTGCTCTGAGCCAGAGTGGACAATGGGAGAGTTCTCTGATGGGGAGTCATAGTGAGATATCCTGAGGGTGGTGGCCTGGGGGTGCTGATCTCTAAGACAGGGTGTGTGGGAGACTGCTGGGAGCACAGGGAACTCTGCCCTCTAAGATGTGGGCATACAGGAGTAGGCCAGGAGCTCAGGGGACACTGTCCTGTTAGCTCCTGAGGTAGCAGAGGTCAGTGTAGCCAGCATCTCACCTGTGCCTTCTGCACTAACCTAGGATGTGTGATGGGTCCTGTTGTTTCTGCAGACACGAGCACACCAGCGGGTACTACGGAGTGCTGCCGTACTTCCTTGGGAAGCTGCTGGCAGAGCTGGGACCCAGGCGGTTACTGCCAATTCTTCTGTTTACTCCTATAACATATGGCATAGCAGGTAAGGAACAAACCAGAGAGCAGGTCTTGTGTCTGTTAGGAGTGTCTTGTGGTCTGTACAACTGTGGCAAGCCTTCAAGTAGAAAAGCATGTCTCCACCCTGTGCTGGCCAAACAGGTGTTCAGCCTGAGGAGAGGCTCCAAGACTTGTTCAAAAGGAACACCAAAAGTTGTTAATGAAACCGTGGTTTCACTAAGTTCCTCTGTGTGTTATAATGAGTGTAGGAATAACTCTCACACTTCAGACAGTGCCAAGAGAGCAAAATCATTTACTAAATAGCTATCCATGTGTATTCTAAAGCTTTTTCTTTCATTTGCGTGTTTGCCTGAGTGTGGTCTGTGTGCACACACGTGCACTAACTGAATGGAGGCCAGAACAGGATGTTGAGTGTGGAACAGGAGTTACAGGAGAAGGAGCCACCCTGTGCTCCTGGGAACTGAACCCTGGGCTTCTCTTAAACGCTGAGCCACGTCTCAGCTGTGTGCTTCCTCCGGGTTCATACGTAAGTGTGTCTACATGGAAATAAAGTACACAAAGTGGATAATATCTCACAAATATGTGTATGTGTGTAAAACTCCTAATGTATACAGTGTCCTATGCTGCCATCTTACAAAGAGAGAGGACACTGAATAATGATTCATTGAAATCATATAATATAAACCATCACTTAAACTATAGACACAGATTCATTTGTGCACTACAATTTGGCTTCATCCTAGACTCTAGAATTTCCATACTTTTCACACCCACATGTATAAACATGCATGCACACAGGCACATCTATAAAAAACAAGTGCTCATAATGCTTAGACTTAGTTTTAGAAGAGATTTATCCCCAAGGTTTATGTCCTGGCACAGCTTATGTGTAAATGTGCTTGTCCTGCAAGCTGACACCCTGAGTGTGAGCAGCAGAATCCACAGTGGAAGAGACAGTCACTCCAGAAAGCTGCCCTTCAACCCCATGTGTGCATCATGACACAATGCATGTCATGACACGCGCACTCCTGTACACACTCATGCATTATAGGCACAATAACAACATTAATGGCATTTTTGAGCAACTGGGAACTCAGCTCCCCAGACTCTACCCTGCTTGCTTGTGACTGTTACAGAAACACAGGACTATGTGTGACTTGGAGGTTCTGCTCCACACAGACTACACATCAGCCCAGGAGGCCTGCTGCCCACTCCACAGCAGTTTTGTGGTGATTTTCTGGGACACTGAAGTGGAGGCGCCTCTGTCCTCTAAGGCTAAAACCACCCTGTGGTTGTTTAGCTCCCTATTGTGAGCTCACAGCAAGTCTGGAAGGGAAGTCGGGGCAAGAGCCTGGAGGCAGGAAGGGGCACAGGCCGTGGAGGGTGCTGCCTGCCTGCTGGCTGCCATGGCTCTCTTGGCCTGCTTTCTCCTGTAACCCAGGGCCACCTGCCCAGCATGGGCGTTCCCACACCCTCCTGAGTCCTCACAGTCTGGCAGAAGCATTCTCCTGATGAGGCTCCCTCTTTCTTTGTGACCCTAGCTTGTGCTAAAGTGACCAAAATGGTGCAGTCCTCATCCCACATTTATGACTAGTGAAATTAGAGTAATCGCTGGGGAATGTGCACATGAGTGTTTTGACCTAGTGATTTCCCCTGGGAGAAGGCAGTAGGATTTTGGCCAGTTGTGTGCCTGCAATTCTCCTTGTCAGGATGTCATCAATCATGTATGAAGAAGAACAGGTCTTATGCAGTCACATGGAAGGAAATAATGACACTGGAGATGCAGAGTAGTCAGGTAACTTTGAAGCTGTCATGAGTCCCTCTGATGATGAAAGCGTTGTCTGAAAACTGTACAATTCCATTGACCTGGCTGCTGGGCTGACACACTTCTTTTCTCTCTAAGGTGTAATAGCAAGTGTGGAGGGCTTCTTCGCCATGATGTTCACCATCACGCTGCTGACTTATTCTGCAAGCTCCCTGCCACTGTCTGTACGTGCAGGGAAGAAAGCCGAGGCTGTGCCAACACCGCTGGTGACGATCTACTTTGTGTTCATGCTGGTGAGGGGATTTTCTGAGAGAATAGATTTCCTTGTGTTCCTTCTCACAAATCAGTGCTCTGGCAATGAGGCCTTATGCTGCAGCTTATTATGGTCTGCAGTGGAAATGGAGTCACCTTTGCCCCTCCTCCCTGGCTTCTCCTCTCATGTACTTCTATGATGTAGTTAACATGCCCTTTCAGGAAACATTTCTTGGGATCCTATTGCAAAACCATAATGAACTGGAATTTCAGGAAACCACTGTGATTGGCTGATTCCCTCACAGAAGGAACAGATGGCTGCCTTCCTTTCTTGCTGGTGTAGGAGACTTGCCTGCCATTTTAACCACAGAAGAGAAGGCTTGGTTTATTCACTAGCCATGCATGGGAGAGTGAAGGTCCTGAGCAATGTACGTTTTCCTATGAGGAGTCTGTCTCAGGTTTGCCCCTGTGCTGGAAAGTGTTAGGAATAGTCCACACAACTAAGTCCGCACAACTAAGTCAGCCCCCTGTGTGGGCCTGCTTCTGCTATCTCTGTAAAACTGGTTGCCTAGTCTTAGTCTTCCATGCCCACATATTACACACTTAATGTGTATCAGTCAACAGACAAGAGGAACTAGATTCCACATTTCCCACCAAGCATATCCGTAAGTAGAGCATTGTGTGCTGATGTTTGTATCATTTCTGCTGTGGTTGGATTTAAGGTCATCCTTCCGTGCTTTGCCCGTGTCAGGATATCTAGGACTTGCTCTGCTAGGACAGCTGGGCTCTGCTGGCACTGTAGTGCCCTGGCCCTTGTTGAGTGTGTTCTGACACTGGCCTTTAGCCATCTGGCTGGCATTGGTGTTGGCTGGTAGCTGAGGAACCTGAATGTTCATAAGAATTGGGTCTGAAGCCAGATGCTGTATATGGTGTGGGAGCATTCGCCCTGGTCAAGTCTGAATGCGTGTCCCCACAGCCATTGCTTTGATGGTCTAGGATACTGAAGGCCAGATATGGCAAGTTATATGTGAATATCACAGCTGTCTCTTGTTTATTTCCACCAGTCTTTTTGCCCCCTCTGTTGGGATGCTGAGGTTTGCGGGCTCTTAACTGGGGCTTTGGTCACATTGTCTGCTCTTCCACATTGTGCAGTTTATGAGTGCTCAGCTTCAAGTTATCTTAAGTTTTATTTTAATTGAATTCCAAATTACTCCCAAAGTCATGAATAGAGACTGAAAATTCTTGTAAAGAGAAAGTTCTATTTATCTTTGGGAGAAAAAGTGGGTTTATGAGGTTTGGTGCTTGTCGTAGTTAGGATTTCTATTGCAGAGATGAAACATTATCGCCAAACAATTTAGGGAGGAAAGGACTTGTTCAGCTGACACTTCTTTATCACTATTCACCACCAAAGGATGTTGGGACAGGAACCTGGCGGCAGAAGCAGATGCAGAGGCCATGGAGGTGCTGCTTATTGGCTTGCTCTCCATGGATGCTCAGCCTGCTTTCTTATAGAACCCAGGACCACCAGCCAGGGATGGCACTGCACACAATGGCCTGGGCCCTCTCCCATCAGTCACTAATAAAGAAACACCCCCCTGGCTTCACTTCAGCTGATCTCATAAAGGCATTTTCTTAATGGAGGGTCGCTCCTTTCCAGTGAATTTAGCTTGTGTCAAGTTGACATAAAAGAGGCAGGACAGCATTCTTCCCATATGTGTTCCTTGATGTAGATGGCAGCCGTTTTATTAGAATCGTCACTATTCTTGGCCTGTCATATTGTCAAAGGTTTAACTAACCACATATTGAAAATATTTGAAACAAACATGCTCTGGTCTGAATATCTCCATCCCCTGAACTATGCACTATAAATTGTAGAGTTACACAAATTAGATATGATGATGAGGATTTCACGTATGTGGTACGGATGTATTTAAAGTATAGAGGATTTTGCATAGGTTGCATTCCACTATAAATGTAATGTAAGCATCCAAAGGGTTTCACTTCTGCAGAGTTGAGGAACAGTTTCTACTGTTTAAACACATGGATAGTCCTGGCTTTACCAAGAGTGAAGGCTTCTGTCTGGAGTTAATCGAAAGAATGTTTAAAAAAAAAAGTCTGATCTGAACTGAACTGGTCAGAAGGATGTAGGGGTCTTGAAGACGGACTCTTTTGTAGAAGTCTCAGTCACCGGGCTAGTTCTGACTCATGTCTCTGCTCTCTGTAGGTTTCCTCAGGTCTGTCCCTATATTTTGGAAGCTTACTGCCTGCACTCTCATGGATTCAGTACTTTAACATCCCTCACTATGGATTCCAGGTAAACTGTCCTTTCTGGCACTGTACTGCGTCCTCCAACCACAGTAAAGGAAACGAATCTCAACCATGCTCTTTCCGCAGATATAGGCTCTGAGCAACTCTGACCCAGGAAGATCCTTCCAGGAGCAAGAGAGGAGGACATTTATATAAGAGTTAGTTAACCCTAGGTCAGTAAGTCATCTGGGTAATTTGAGGAATGAAAGCTGAGAGAAATCTCAGAGTAGAGAAAAGATGGACGATATGATGAAAAACACACATGAAAAAGGAACTTTTATTCTCCTGTTTCAGTTGTTGTCTTGACACTTACTGCCTCTGTCTGCTAACCTGGGCCTAGTCCTGCAAGCTTCTGGTATCTCTACAATCTAAACAAGGCCTAGGACATTTTCAGCTTCTGAGACTCCCTGCTCAATAAGCTCAACCTTTCTTGTTCTTACTGAGCTCTGGGCTGGCTGGTTCAACTCAGCTGTACTGGCTCCAACTCCTCTCCCAGCTGACTTATTCAAACTTGCTTCTCTCTCTGCCCTTCAGTTGCTCTGCTTGGCCTCACACTAACTCAAGCAATCTGCTCTAATCTCCTGACTCCTTTTCCTCCTCTGGCTCATTTGGTTTTCACCTGAGTTCTCTCTCTGCAATGTCTCTCTTTACTGACCTTGTAAAACTGCCTTCACTCTCTCTCATTCTCTGTGTTGCTCCCTTAAGTAACATCCCTTTCTGTTCTTTTAGTTGGGCATATCCTGTTCTCTCAAATCTTTCTCTGTTTGGTTACTTTCTCTGCCACTCAATGAAACAACATATCCAAACATGGGTGCTTCCTTCTACAAACTAACTTTACCTTAATTATTTGGGATTAAATGTGTGTACCACCACACCTGGCCCTAAATTGTTTGTTTGTTTGTTTGTTTGTTTACCTGAAACTTTCTCTTTACCATGCTGGCCTTGAGCCCAAATCTGCTTGTCTCTGTCTCCTGGATCAAAGGTGTGTTTGTATTCCTGCTGGATCACACAGACCTAGAAGGTCTTTGGATGTGCTCTCTTGCCAGAGGAGCCTTGTTCTGAATTAAAATTCCTCTACACCTATCACAGTGTTTCTACCCAAAACAGGAAAGGATAAAAGGATCAGAGACAATGATATATAGTTCATATCAGGAAATTAAAAGAAACAAATCATGTGATACCCTTAACCTTATTGGCTTTACAAGCTTATCTCCGTAGGAAAGTGTGTCTTCAAATACTTCAAAACTCCCACAGTCACAATTGCTTTTGATGAAAAGCAAACAATATTGTTACTCTAAATCAATAACACTCACTCAATGAATTGTGCTGTTTTAAGGACAGTGTTTACAGGGTTATGGACTTAGAGGGTATGGAAGGAGGAGGTCTGGGGTAATGTAGTTAGATTATCCTTCTCTTAGTTGATTGGAAGCACCATCATTTCAATCCTAAACCTCCTGATTGCTTTGCTGGGCAGACTATAAACCTAGTAGGTCTTGTGTTTAAGAACAATTGCAAATACCAGTAAAGACTGAACTTGAAGTCAGCTGTATTCATTCTTTTGGAAACTTGGAAATATAAAACTATTTGCCTTTCTGGGTTCCTGTTTGTGTTACAGGCTTTGTTGCACAATGAATTCTTGGGACAAACCTTCTGTCTAGAACACAACACAGAAGAACTCAGCAGATGTCAGAACCAAGTAATGTAAGCTTGGGTTCAGTGCTGCAGTGGGGACACAGGATGCTAGTACACTCAGAGGGCAGCCTGTCCTTTCAGGGTTCACACTCTTCTATGCCTGTTCCCCAGAGTGAGTCATGTGCACCAAGCAGGTGTGAATGTGTTTGGACCCTTCTTCTCCACGGTGTAGATAATATGCAGAAAGTGCTCTTTGTGGCCTCTTGACAATTGGTCTTGGTGTTTTTGTTGTGGATTTGAGTTCCTTGTTTTAGAACATTTGAGTTGGACATGGGCTGCTCTTATAGTCTAACAAGGGCACAGAGTTTCTACATATATAGATTATGATTCTGTGGGCCAAGCCCAAGCATATCAGGGCAGCAAGGGTGAACTGTGGTGAGCTTTGCCTGCCAGCATTCAGGCTGTCTCTCTGCCTCACACACTGGAGGACTTCAAGAAATAAAAGTTGTGTGTGTGTGTGGGTGTGTGTATGTGAAATGACCTATTAGAGGATATATCCTGCAATTGATAAAAACACATATTTCAGTATGTTGAGATGGAAATCTCATTTTTGTCCAATGCCATTAAAATAGAAACACAGATTTTTAAACAAAACTAGAGTGTACTGTTTTAAAGTTTCAGTACCTTCACTTTCTGTGATCATTGTCATAATTTGATTTTGATATATAAACAAGAGAGGAATATGCTGATATTACATCTCTTTGATATTCAAAATAATAATGAATAATAGAAATGCAAATTTGTGCTTTAAAATACTTTTGAGATAACCTGTATTGTGGGGACCTTACTTCACATTTCCTCCCTCCTGGTGTGGTCTGGGCACTTGTCTTATACAAAATCTTGATCAGTTTCTGGTCAGGATGAGATAGATGACTTCATACTCACAGCTTTGTCCTCACAAAAGAAAGAAAAAAAAAAAAGAAATCTGCTCTTTCAGCAGATTTGTGAGCTGCCAAATCCAAGAGATACAAGGCAGTAGAGGGACACAGGGGTGGAAATGCACAGCAGTGATTGTAGCTGTTTGCAGAATTTGCAGCAGCTGCTGCTTTTGTACCCTGTGTCAGGACCATGGCATCCTGCTGTGCTCCAAGTCTCCTTGGGCTCCACTGTCACCCAGGCTCCACTGTCACCCAGGCTCCACTGTCA